TGTATATATGTATATGTATATATATATATGTATATATGTATATATATATATATATGTATATATGTATATATATATATATATATGTATATATGTATATATGTATGTATATATGTATATATGTATATATATATGTATGTATGTATGTATGTATGTGTATATATATATATATATATATATATATATATATATAGATATGTATATATATATATTCAGTTTAAAGTAAGCAATCACTGTTTTAACTCATGGTGAAAGAGGATTGTGCCGCAGCAGTTCTATTCATGTCAACATACAGTCAATGTCAGCCCAATGATGTCATGAACACAACTGTATCTGTTTCAGTAATATATTATTTTATTATTTTAGATAGCTGCGTTAGTGTTGAAGTTCATCCTTGATGAGCACCAGGAGAGGGGAGTAGCCCGATACACCTCGGCTGCTCTGATTGGCTGTTGTGGGCACGTCAATCATTGGTGGAGGTTGTTTGCATGGTGAGCCCGTCCTGCAGACAGAACAGTCTCTCTCGCTGCTCTCTGTGTAGCCCACCGGACTTACTTTCCTCCTGCTCTGTCTTTTTAGAGGAGCCGAACAGCTGCTGCTTGAGGAGTTCTCCACAGCCGGCTCTAAGCTACATTGTAGCTGAGGATATTCATCTGGGTTTTCGAACGAATTCAAGAAAATGACACATTTTAACAAGGGGCCATCGTACGGATTATCTGCTGAAGTGAGAAACAAAGTAAGTGTTGAAGTCCCGTCTCTAGCTTTGTGTGTCGGGGGGAAAACAGACGCTAACAAAGGCTCAGCTAACGCACCATCTTCACAGACACAGAGAAGCACTCGGCCACACTGTAATGTGCTTTTGTCAAAGGCGGCCTAAACTTTCCGAATGTCGAGAATCTCTTTTCCAGCTGGTGTAGAACCGACTGAGAGCTCACTGCTTGCGGGGAGATGGACGTAGACTGGAGGCAGATGAGATAACGTTAAACTGTTTATATCTCGCTATTTACAGTATTGAGATGTGTAAGAGTCCAGCTTCTCATCTCTGACGGAAGTTGTCCAAACTTTAGGCTTTTTGACGGTAACGGGTTCGGTACCGTTATTAAGTGATTATTGTCGACGCTATAGGCCGAACTGACCTCAATGATGGGAAAAAGTTTCCTTCCGCCACACTTTGTTTGTGGATTGGATCACTTTTCAAACGCTAAAGCTGATGAGTGGATTTATTTGATTTGATGACCCGTGTGTTTGCATTGTGAACAATCTTTCCCATGGTTCACACTCTACTGTAGTCATTGTTAGTGGAGGCAGGAGGGCCCAGCTGGCTCTGTGTGGCTGGCTGCTGAGGCCTGAGTCCTGGTTTATCGACATACAACATCTATTCATTTATGTTGAGATATCTTTTATCATTAGACACTTAGAGCTAGTGTAATTGTAGTCGCGTTCTATTATTAAAATGATAACTAAGGAAAATATGCAACAGGGCTACTGGAGGCCGCATCGCAAAGAAAGTGTCATTTGATGTTATTCTAGATGGGATTGTAGAAATGTCTAAAGGAGATTAGTGTGCATGTTGATCACACACATCTGGCTACATTCTATTGATAAAGCTGTGTCTCAAGAAGCTTCTAAGAAGAGAGCTAGAGAAAAGGACCACAGTTACAGCATGTTTTCAATCAGATCACTTGTACTTAATATTGCTGATCATTATTTTTAAAGCGTACGGTCATTTCTGTTATTTCAAATATGTTTCCATTCACTTCAGCACCAAAGGGTTTCACTGGTGTTACCATAGTGTGACTTAAAGTGAACTTGAGTTTGGTAATCCATCATTAGGAACATCATATCCGTGCTAAAGTGAAGATTGATTAAAGTCTGTACTTCATAACAAAGTTACAAATCTGGAAGTTGACCTCACTACATTATTTTTGTTGTTGCGCTGTAAATAAACACATCTACTCTTATTGGCATATGATATTTCAGGTGGTTTTGTTTTCTAACCAAACCAGTGTTTCCTCTATGATTTTTTTCCTGCAGCAGTTCTGAAGTGTGTGAATATTATTTTTCACCGTCGAAAGACATTTACTGAACAAGAAGGGCGTGAGATCCATTTTTGTACAAAGTTGTAAATGTCGAATTATATTTAATAAAATGTTGAAAGAGTTTGATAATCCCATCAAATCAAGTTAAAGCTACTGCAGCAGTGATCGGCCCTTGCACCCGTGCTCATGTCGAGGTCACCGGCTGGACGCTGGGTGATGAGGCCGTGCACTTCCTTGACTATCAGACACTGCGTGCACGAGTTAGACGGTGTTTCATGGGTGGAGCAGCGACGTCGTCGGCTCATTTTGCAGGGGCTTCAAACTCAAATGTTTTGAGTGTCTCTATGAATACTATTTCAAATTTAAGCCTGTAAAGATTGAACATTAACTTAATATGCGCTGTAGTTTTTGTAGCATAACAATCAAAGTATATGCAGGTCTCTAAACCAACATGTGTTTGTGCTGAGAATAGAGGTTAGAGAGAAAAGTGGGGTCAACTTGCTGTTAATTGAACACTGTGAGCTTTCATTTGCAGATGTTTTGTGATCATTTTAGTCTCTTCTGCATTTTCAGAATGTAGTGTGGATCATTCATTACAACATGTAACCTGACTCCACTGTTTACTGCTTAACAGGTCATTTATACTAATGCCTACTGACATGGCTTTAAAACTATTGTTGGCAAATTTCTGCTTTACAAACATTTTAAAATGCATATATTTAGATAAGGGAAAGCACACGTTTTTCAGAAGGCATGCCTCGATCCCCCCTAGTACGCTCAGTGTTTGGAACTCTCTATTTCTGAAACCCTGCTTATGGCCATGGTTGCCAGTAGGTGGCGCTATGACTATGAGCTAATGTTGGCATGCAGAAGTCCTCAAGCCATGACTCTCATTAAGCATGTCAAGTTTGGGACAGTTTTGACAAAGTACAGTCGAGTTACAGCAGCTTGATGAATGATGGTGAACCATGTAAACCGTCCATGTCGTTCCATGAAACCTCAAGCCTTTGATAACATTTAAACACTAACGTCTTGAGATTGTTCTGATTACATTTGAAGTTGTTCTGATTTATTCACTAGGAGGAGTTTGTTAAAGTACAGCTTCTGGAAATGGCAGAAAAACAAAAGAAATTCATACAAAATAAAAAATGTCCGACTTCCGGTTGGGTTTGGAGCATGGCCCCAAGAGACTTTTTTTTAAGTCGACATGTGATAACTTTTATCTCGGTGAAAAGTAATGCGAGGGCTGCCTCGTCGAAATTTGTTAGGGGGCGCTATCTTGTCACTCTGAAGCATTCAAATCACATGAGAACTACATTCAGGACTTTAAATGTGTTTAAGGCCCTCGTAAACAAGTTCTTTCTTCATGGTGAAGAATGCGTTGCCACGGCAACGACGTTCCACGCAACATCAAACTTTCCTACGGCCCTAATAAAAAAATGCATTAGAAGAACAATAGGTACGTCAGTACTTGGGCCCTAATTATGTCAAATCAATATTATGCCAAAAAGGTCGGTGTCAATAAACAAGAACAGGGCCCGGTAGTAATGTTTGCCAGGTTGCCACCATTGGCAACCAATCTTTGACATCAGTTGCCATCAGTGGCGCTACTGGTATTTTGTATACCAGGAAGTGAGGGTGGACACATTAGCTTTAGGTTCCAGTTCAGTTCAGTACATTACACAGTAGAGTAGAGTCATTACTAGTGGGGCAACGCAGCATAAAACTCATGGATCGGATCAGCACAAAATATTCAAAGTGTCAGATACTGTGATAAAGCTTTTATTCCTTTATGTTTCATTTTCAGAATCATGCTATCTTAAGTGTTTAAAATATAAGGTGACAGAATGGGAACCGTGATTTCAGTTTCAGCAACTAAAAACTATTGCCGGCCATGCAACCACTTTAGTTAGTGTGAGCCCTGAAGAAGCCAAGTCCATCATGACAGGAACAGTCCTACTTGGAGGAAATTGTTGGGGATTAATCCTAATGTTGATCCTAATGTTAATGTTAGTTATTGCTGAAGTAGCATACACTATTTGCTGTTGTCAAATCACAACACAAAACATAGCCTGGTGAAAATGCACACCATCTAGCCACAGGCCTCAGGTAATGCTATTCATTTATTAACTGTGGATTTGATCCAATAGATTTGTGCTTCTGGTTATGGTTGCAGCAGGGCGGCTTATTAGGCTCACTTTAACGCCATGTTGCTGCAGTGGTAACAGTTTGAATCAGATTAGTGTTACCAGTACAAGTAAGAGGACACGAGCACAGTATCTGACTCAGTCCCTGATACTGGTATCGTATTGGTGCATTCCTAGGTTTATGTTTTGGTTTTGTCATTTTTATAGAAGAAGTATCCATGTGCAGTGATATAAAAAATTGAGGATGTAATACATTGAGGTGCCTCGACAATTGTTGTGCATTTGAATGAGTCAGATGAATTATAATGGAATCATGAGGCCAATAAAGACTCACACCTACTACAGATCAGACGGTCACCAATAGGAAGCACATCTGCAGTTGTTGTCGGGTCTTCCTGATTTTACACAGATTCATCTGAATGTATTAGAATGTTTTTGCTGCAGTACCACTCTCCTCCTCAAACTCAAGTAAAGATTATTACTGACTCAATTAATACATTTTTACATTTCAACATTTTTAGTAATAAAAAACAAATTTGAAGTTCCATGTTCATTACTGTTCCTGATGTTTTAAGTTTTTGCTGTGGTATCATGTCAGTATGTGTATAGAGATATTTAGGCAGGCTATCGTAACAAAGTCACCATCGTGGTATCGTGACAACACTACTCAAATCCATCATGAAGAGTCATTACAAAGCCGATGCATGCATTTGAATGGGAAAGTGTGATAGGATAAATGAATGGAAAGTTATACTCAAATGGCAGCTTTTCAAATGGTCATTTTTTTCTCAGAAAATTGCTGAAGGTTGCAGAAAACATCCCATCTGATGACCTGAAGCTGCACTTTAATGCTCACTCTGTGGACCCTCTGAGGAGCTATCTTCTTATTTTCCTGTTGAGGTGGAGCATGTTCTACAAAAGAGCATCCTCTTTTGTAGAACATACTTCAATTTCATGATAATAAGTCATTTACAAGTATTTTAGAAGGCCTTCCTGGGACCATTTGGAGACACCATGCATCCAGGACTAAAACCTGCACATCTGCTGTCGATATGGGCATTGTGCACTAATAATTGACCCATTTCCACTACCTCCCATACAACTAATAGACGGTGGCACGTTTCCCTGTCAGTCAGTGGAAACCATGCCACAAGTGCGCCCACAAAAGGAATTCACACTTGGCTGCACATGCACATCAAATGTCAGAACAGTTCCCTAACAGTCCAAAGCAATGTCCACCACATTGCCAGAGGGGTGCTTTTCTGCCCCCCAATAGAAAGCATGTATTTTGTCATTCGGGACATTCGGGTGTGTCTTCACATCAAACAGGAAACGATCGCTGGGCAGTGATGCAAATAAACACAAATGGTCTGGTGTAAAGGTGCAACATATAAGGTCTGACCAGAATTTCAGTTTAAATCCTTAAAGAAATGACCTCACAAAAGAATGTAAAAAAGGAACAGTTATGACATTATGCCAAATATGCCAAAGTGTGGTGCTGTAAAGATATCTACTGCCAACTATTGTCTCATTCAGTGAGTCACTGTAGCGCCAGACTCCGTCCAGAGCACGAAGAAGTAGATCTGCCTCGAGGGCTCGTCCATACCACCTCCACGGTCCGTCTGTCTTTTGATAGTTTTTATTGGATTCAACCCAAAGTAGCAGAATCAAGAAAAGGACCTTGTGGGCGGGTGGATACCCTCTTTTACAGTGTGAGGCAACTGTATTTTAAATCCATCTGTGAAGTGGGATGACGCTGGTGTTCTGTCACAACTGCAATCACACAGGCCCAGTTCATTGCAGTAAAACCTCTGTGAATAGAAGGAGGTCAGGCAGGGGCCCTCATGTGGTGTGATCAGTAGTCCGTGCTCTTCTCTGCTGCGTACACCACATTCCTGAAACCCTTCGGTGAACCCCCTTGATGAGGACCCCATCCACTGGGCCTTCTGCCCACTGCCTCACTCCTCAGTGTTCTTGTAGCCTGCGTAGTAGACATGTGTTTCAGGTTAGCTTGTGGCTCTCTTTCTCTGATGTTTTGTGGAAAGGTTCAAATTAAAGTAGATTTGTACAAATCACAGGATATTCTGGTTTGAAGGGTTATTTAAATAAAGTCTACAGAATTTAAATTAAGCATGTAATTAATGCATATTGTTTTGCACTCACAGACACTCACAAAACTTAATTAAACCAAATTTAAGGTTGTGAGTGATAAGCATACAGTAGCTGTGAACTGGTTGTGTTATTGATGATAAATAGAACTTGTCTTTGAAGTGATTGGTAGGCTTTCAAACACGGTAGATCATGTTTCAGCTCAGGACTTTTATCAAATGCCACATGTGTCCCTCTCTGCTTTCCATTCGACTATTGTGGCTCTTCACTTTGTATTTACTAATGGGAACATTCTTACTAACTCCAGCATCATTACTCAACAACGTTGCCGCTGCATCTCAACTGTCAGATGTGTAGAAATAATACAATCACAGCTTAAACCACCTGATGCTTACTGTAGAGAACACTGGCTGGTTCTGTGCCCCACCATGGAGGGCCTGGTGTCCTATTATTATGACATGACACCAATAGATAATTAAAGTAGAGCTGCTGTTTCAACTGGTACTCTTATCACGGGTATTTTGTCTAATTATAACATTACTGTTACAGTTAAGTGGTTTCCACAACAGTGCAGCCTCTACTTTTACAAACGCTGAGCTCACCTGTGGTCCACCTCTCTGAGCCCACCTGTGGTCCACCTCTCTGAGCCCACCTGTGGTCCGCAGGTAGGAGTCGGAGGGCAGCAGTCACGGAGTGTGGCTGAGAAGAGCAGCTGCTGTCTGGGCTGACTACCATGGGACACACACCCAGGTGTGAGCTCAGGGTGTCCTGTGATAGCATTACATGTGTTGTAACTCTGTTATGTTGTTCATTCTGTACACATGACATCATATTTGTTCCTGTAACGATGTGAGGGTCCCGGGACAGAGGATGTCGTATGTGTACAGATTGTAAAGCCCTCTGAGGCAAATTTGTGATTTGTGATATTGGGCTAAACAAAATAAACTGAATTGAATTGAGGTACACAACTGTAGAAGTGTCAGAATGGAAGCAACATCATGTAATGGTCATCTTAAAGAACAACCCAGGCCAATTAGTGCAGACAATTACTAATCCATCAGGTTCCAGTTAGGCTTCTCTTGCGTTCCTCTGTTTTATATGGTTGTAAACTGAATATATTTGAGTTCAGGGCTCTTGGAAGGATAAAACATTACCTAGTGTCTTGGAAAATTGCAATGGCATAACATTTAATATACTAAACAATTAAGTGATTTATTGTTCAGTGACAGATGAATTTATACAGAAAAGAATGAGTAGTGGCTGCCCTCCATCTAGCATTCTTCCCTCCTGAGTCGGTGACATGGCTCCCCTAACCACAGTACGTGGTATGTTGCGTGCTTCTATCTTTACTGAACAGCAGCCTCTCTGTTTGCTCAGCCTTGCTTCATCACGCGGTTGAGCCCCTGTGGTTGGGTGGTTTTGTTATCACACTTCACTCTACTATCACTTTGGTTGGACTACATAACCCCTGACTGTACATTGTGATGTGTGTGTAGGAGTCAACCTATTTTTGAAATGTGTGCAGTTTTGTGCTGTCATCAAAAAATGCTTTTGGGTACAGAGATGAAATAGGGAGGGGTTTGTCTGGTTTTCACTTCCAGCTGGCTCAAATCATAACCAGATCAGTCTAATGGTTCCATCAAAAGAATGAAATCCCTTTTTCCACTGCCTGATTTTTTTTGTTTTTCCTGAGAGCTCTTGGCAATCTTCCTCGAAAGTCACTGCTGGGAGAAGTGAAGAAGAGAAACCCCCCTCTCTAATCATTGCAGCTCTTTGGCCTCTCGGTGGTTTCCTCTGTGTTGTCAAACTCCACAGACAAGAAGCCCCTCCCACCAATTCCTAAGTGACAGTTTTCAGCCCTGACAGTATGACAGGAGCTCTAACCTTTCACCACAGCCTGGAGGTGAACAGAGACGTCATTATCTGAGTCTGAATCACCATCCATCTCTGTGTCTGTGTGCATGGTTTATACCGATGTCATGTTAAATCATGTCAAATTTAGCATTTTCTAACCTAATATTCATTGACAAAACTATTTAGTGCCTTCAAAGCCTCACATTGATGTATTATTGGCATACAATTAAGGATGAAATATATTTCCACTTCCTCACACTGTACTTTTCATCTCGCTCTCCCGTTAATTTTTTAGCTAAGTTTTATGAACCCCACCACCATCCCACTTTAGCCGGGAGGCATTGACCAATCAGAAGGAGCTTTGATTGGTGCTCAAGCAATTAGTCAGTGAGTCATAAAAACTAAACTTTTGATAATAAATAAATCCTTTTACTCCAAAAATGCCAAACATTTTCTCTGTTCTACTGAATGATTCATAATAATCAGCAAACTAATGATAATATAAAACATCCTGAGTAGTTGCAGCACTAGTTTTGATGCAGCACTGATTAATACCAGAGCACGTATCGACCACATTACAGTGACATTCATTACTTTATCTGGGGCCTGGGCCTTCCTGTGTCTTCCTGCAAACACATTTGGTAATATGTTTATTATTGCGTTGGAAGTAGTGGTGTAACGGACCACTGCTGATCCTCCTCGTGGTTCCGCACACATGTGAACCGTGGATTAACTACACAGTTTAACAGTAACCATCACAGTGTGAAATACAGTTTTACTGACGAATATGCGATCAGGACATTATTCACGCTGTTCTAATCGCCGATCTATTATAATGTTACATTGTAAACATTGACAGGAGGAGAACGAATGTTCCCTTCAGTTCCATTATGATGCGTTCAGGCCCTGTGGAGGCCCTGTGGACGCTCTCTGGACGCTCTCTGGAGGCTCTGTGGACGCTCTGTGGAGGCGTGCTATCAGACTAAGCCTCAGGGACTGATCTGAGTCGGACAGCAGATGGTTTCTGTCGGGGGTTCTTCTCCGACTATAAAGTGAAGTGGACTCTGCCCTGCTGTAGATGAGCAGAGTGTTTATGCAGTGTCAGCCAACACTAAAAGGCTGTTTACACTGTTAAGAGGTTACTCTACAGTAACATTAAACTTTGCCTCACAATGAGCCTCGCTGTGTACCAAACCTCTGTCGTCTGACTAGTACCATGTTGACCATGGAGTACTGGGTAACTGAGGACTGGATGAAGGGTTCAGTCTGCCTGAAACAGACCACAGTCGTTTGTAAAATGTGTTCTCCAATCATTCCTGAGCCCTCTCTGTAGTCTGGATGTGATGAATCATACTGTATGTAACATAACAATGCACACTTTCAGACCGTTGTCCTGACCGTTGTCCCACACAACGCATATAAGTTCTACTAATAATAGAGAACTAGTCAGGCCCAATAAGCTTCGATGTGTATCTAACGGTCTGGTCTGAATTATAGTCTAAGTAGTCCCATAGTTATTGCTCTGGTCTCTGGAGTCTCTGGTCTGTGTGTCAGGATGTGAAGTACCTATGGACCGTCTCTCTATCAGGGAATCACACGAGTATCTACTGTACTGGCTGCTGAAATCAGACCCTGGTTCAGACCTAGTCTCTGTTACTGAAGCTCATAGTTAGGGTATGCCAGCTGGGTTTCTGATGGGAAATGAATCAGCAGTAAATAAATCTATATTTTAACTCAAAATTCACTTTCTCTCATTGTACAGAGCTGCTAAATCCAGTTCCGCAGTTCTTATTGATATTCACTGTTTTTGTTTCCAATGTGGAATGTAGATTAAACATGTTTTGTTTTTAAGATTGCTCTGAAATATGACCTCCAAAGGGAGGAGGAGCTCCGCTTCTGGGTTGAGGAGGTGACAGGAATGTCTATTGGAGAGAACTTCCAGAAAGGCTTAAAGGATGGAGTCATCCTCTGCGAGTAAGTTCTGTCTGTCTGTCTGTCTGTCCGTATACTGTATGTCTGTCTCTATATGTCTATGTCTGTCTCTATATGTCTGTGTCTGTATACTGTCTTAAATTATACTGTATAAACCTCAAAGTTTTAAGACCCTGCAGGAAAAACCCCAACAACCCAAATTGCTGGTTAAAGGAATGTCCAATCCCTTACCCCTCAACTACATGCCAAGGCCTGGTGATATAATAGGTTATAGGTTATAATAGGTCTGTCTGTCTATATGTCTGTCTCTATATCTCTGTCTGTATGTCTGTCTGTCTGTCTCTATATGTCTGTCTCTATATGTCTATATGTCTGTATACTGTCTGTCTCTATATGTCTGTCTTACTGTGTGCTGTCTGTGTGTCTGTAACAGTACCCTCCATAGTTGCTAGATCACATTTAGTTCTGATGGATTTGTTTCTTTCCTCTCAGACTGATTAACAAGCTGCAGACTGGTTCAGTAAAGAGAATCAACCTTTCCCAGCTGAACTGGCACAAGGTGAGACCTGTGAAGTGGAAAGAGTCGAGAAGCTCCCAGCATTCCTGAAGCTTTCACTTCTTCTCACTGACAGCATTATTTGTGCTGTGGTGGACTCCCAGCCCCCATCACTCCTTGTTTTTCTTTTTTCTGCAGCTGGAAAACCTTGGGAATTTCATCAAAGCTATCCTGGCCTATGGCCTGAAGCCCAATGACATCTTTGAGGCCAATGACCTGTTTGAAAACGGGAACATGACTCAAGTCCAGACCACAATGCTTGCACTGGCCAGCATGGTGAGTGAACACAGAGTACAGAGGGTCATTGTCTGCTGAGGAGCACATTTTCTACTGCTATAGGAAACAAAATGTAATGTCCTTTGACTAGCATGTCCTCTCTGTCAGGCAAAGACCAAAGGTATGGACTCAAAGATTGATATCGGGGTGAAATATGCAGACAAACAAGCTCGACATTTTGACGATGAGAAGATCAAGGCCGGTCAATGTGTCATTGGACTGCAGGTAACTATGACTGGTGATGAAGTGGTTCTTAGAGCCAACGCATGAACCTATATCTTTAGGCTGATGTCCCTGAGAGCTGATGTTTTGTTTGTAGCTGTAAATATACCCACTTTACTGGAATAAACCGGGTCAGCACTGTCCCTAGAGAGTCCTATTTCTCCTGCAGTGAAACAATGGTTGGTCTCTTTAAAGCAGAGCGAACAGCCAGTCAATGCAATGACGGACACGGGGATAAAGAAACAGTTTAAATTACCTTCATTTACAATGCCAATGGTTCTTCTTAGAGTTACTTATATGTGATTGCATTTGGTGAGATCCTATCGCTGGTCTTTTGCCATCAGATGGGGACAAACAAGTGTGCGAGTCAGGCTGGAATGACTGCTTATGGAACCAGAAGACATCTGTATGATCCGAAGACTCAGACTGACAAACCCTACGACCAGAGCACCATCAGCCTGCAGATGGGAACCAACAAAGGAGCCAGCCAGGTTAAAGCCTGCTTCTCTTATAATGCTGCTCTAATTTGATCTATTTATATTCAATACATCCTTAAAACAACGAATGTTATGTGGAGGATTGTCTCTGTATCTGTTCATGCAGATAGTTTGACTTTATGTCTCCAGGTTTGACTTGAGATTTCTGCACCTACCCCGATACAAGTTGAAGGTGAATGGAATTTAGTTGTGCTAATAACGGCATTGACAAATATGTGGATTCATACCAGATCAGCCTGCATTAAATCAAACAAGGAGCTGTGGTGGTGGCGGCATGTTGTGTCAAACACCTGGGAGACATGATAAAGGATCCAGGACGTCCAGAGGGAGTAACCGTTATGATTATGAGGGCTTATCAGACTCCAAAACACTGCACAGGGATTTAGAATAGAGCAGGACTTTACAACTCTATTCTACTTTTGTGGCGAGTCGTAGGAATCCTCTCTTCAGTTGCATACAGGAATGTGCTCTTGCATGTATGTGATTGGCCACTGCAGCGACTTGCTGGATGATGTTGTGTACACAACACAACATTTTGCGGCAAAAGTTACATTTATTTGTGTAGCCCAATATCCATCCATCCATTTTCCACCGCTTATCCGGGGGTCGGGTCGCGGTGGCAGCAGGTCAAGCAGGCCGACCCAGACCTCCCTCTCACCGGCAACATGTTCCAGCTCATTCTGGGGGATCCCGAGGTGTTCCCAGGCCAGCTGGGAGATGTAATCTCTCCAGCGTGTTCTGGGTCTTCCCCGGGGTCTCTTCCCAGTTGGACGTGCCTGGAAAACCTCCAGTGGGAGGCGTCCAGGAGGCATCCTAATTAGATGCCCGAACCACCTCAGCTGACTCCTTTCGACGCGAAGGAGTAGCGGCTCTACTCCAAGCTCCCTCCTGATGACCGAGCTCCTTACCCTATCTCTAAG